TTGTTAAAATCTGGTGTGGATGATACGAGAGAGGACCTTTCTGCTAATGAAAGAGAACTCGGTGATGTTCTTTCTAAAGATTTGGATGTGTTGCACAATATGAAGGATATGATAAAATCATGTTTCGAATCAGGTGGTACTCCTGGTGTCATTGCTCCACCTTCTGGTAGCTTACCTCGCGGGGTCATGTCAAGAAAATCAGAAACCAAGGTAAAGTTGTTACTGGTGTTACATTTTGTATTCTATATATATTTGTAAGTATAATTCTTCCTGTTGCCCATTTCTTACAAAAATGTACTTTTATACATCCAATATTAAAAAATCCCTCATGTTTTTGGTAAGTGTTTCGTGTCTGACGCCTATGAGTTACTTGACTCACATGGATTCTGGTCTTTGTAGACATTCTTTCCCATCGCGCAAGATGCCAGAGCAATAATGTTTATTTTCACCTGCAGGTTTTTACGACTGAAATTGGTTCTCTCAGGGAGCGACTTTACAACCATTCAAATTTGTTAAGAGAAGAAACTTCCCGGTTATCTGAAGTAGTGATGAATGTTCATAGAGAAAATACTTCTCAGAAAGAGCTGTATGAATCTATGAAGAGAGATGTCAAGAAGTTTGAAATGATTGAGAAAGAGAAAGAGTCAGAATTACATATTTTGCAAGAAAACATTTCGTTGCTATATGAAGCATGCACGAGTGCAATTTCAGAAATCGAAAATTGGAAATCCCGTGTGGATGGAAATGCATTGGCATCTAGAGCTCCCGAAAGGAACTTAAAAGTAGAAACTCATACGAAAGGGAGAAATGCTTTCACTGATACTCGCGTTTTCAATGAGGAAGGCATCAGAAGCATGAGCGACAAACTATTATTGGTCGTGAGGGATTTCATTAGCATGCAAAGTGAAGTGATGGAAGTTGGTCAGAGGGATATGAAGAGTACCATAATGAATCTACAGAAAGAGGTTCACGAGAAGGACATCCAAAGAGAACGGGTTTGCATGGAGCTTGTTAATCAGATAAAGGAAGCTGAAAATAATGCAAAGAGTTATTTGCATGATCTTCAGCAAGCTAAGGTGCAACTACGTGATTCACAGAGACAATTGGATGCAATGGCAGACGAGCGTAAGGTATTGGAACAGGAAATGAAAGAACTACAGGATCAACAAACCAACTCCACTGATTTGCAGCAGAAAGTTAACTCACTGACGGATGCACTGGCTTCAAAAGTACAAGGTCAGCTGGTTTATTTATTTTTGCTTGTCCTTGTGAAAGATGCAGTTCTGATTTTATTACATTATTTTCTTGCAGAAACTGAGGCACTAATGCAAGCCCTTGACGAAGAGGAGTCTGAAATGGAACAGCTGACTAAAAAGATTGAGGGGCTGGAAAACGAGTTGCAACAAAAGAATAAAGACTTGGAGAACATTGAAGTTTCTCGTGCCAAGGCTTTGAAGAAGCTTTCGATTACTGTGAGCAAGTTTGACGAACTTCATTATTTCTCCGAAAGTCTACTATCTGAGGTTGAGAAGCTTCAGTCCCAGCTGCAGGAGAGAGATGGAGAAATCTCTTTCCTTAGACAAGAGGTTACTCGTTGCACAAATGATGCACTAGCAGCTACCCAGATGAGTAAGAAGAGGAGTTCGGATGAACTTCTTGACTTGCTCTCTTGGTTAGATTCTTTGATATCTCGGGTACAGCTGCATGATTTAGCTTCTGATGATTCAAGAAATGACGTGGTTGATGAATATCAAATAGTATTACCGACAGAGGATTTTGGGTTTGATACCTGAATTCGAGAATCTCCGAGTGGTGACACAGAACAGTGATATGCTGTTGCAAGAAGAGAGAAGTAAAGTGGAAGAATTGGCTAAAAAGGAACAGTATCTTAAGAATTCTTTGCGTGAGAAGGAATCTCAACTTCTCATTCTTCAAGGTGCTGGAGAATCTGCAAAATCCACGTCAGAGATTGTGGAGGTCGAGCAAATGGTATGTTGCTTAATACTTTGGTGCTTTATGTTTGTCGAACTTCTCTCTTACACTTGCTATCTTACTCGGTTTCTATATTCCTCTTGACATACTTTGCATTTAGCACTGATTTCTACTATGTAATGACACAGACAAATACATGGGCCCCGCCTGGCAACGTTGCACCACAAGTTCGCAGTTTGCGGAAAACAAACAACGATCAAGTTGCGATTGCAATAGATGTGGATCATAGTAGTGACAGATTGGAGGATGACGATGACAAAGGTATTTTGATTTTGGTCCTTACTGATAGAAGCGGGAAAAAAATCAAAAGAAAAAAAAAAATGTGGGAATAGCGTAATTCATGGGTCCTATTAAAAGCAACTTACTAACCCTATTCCTTGTTTCTGTTTCTCCCTTTTCAACTCAGCTCATGGTTTTAAGTCACTCACTACATCAAAAATTGTGCCACGGTTTACAAGGCCCGTGTCAGACATGGTTGATGGTTTGTGGTAAGTCTCCATATTAATTTATGCTCTTTGAATTTTGTTTTCAAATTACGATGTTCACTTATAACTATTATCGATTTTTTCTCAGGGTGTCCTGTGACCGGGCACTAATGCGACAACCTGCTTTACGACTTGGTGTCATCATCTATTGGGCCGTGTTGCATGCCATGCTTGCAATTTTCGTAGTCTGAGAAATCTGAACTGGTCAGTGCTAGTTTATTATTAAGGACACTATATATATGGAATTCCAGAGGACAAAAATAACTTAAAAGCTATAATAATAATTGGGAGACATCTGTGCTGAATTTTAGTTTTTTTTTTCTTCTACCGAGCAGGTTATTTGATGCAGTCTAGAGATGACTTCACAGCTTCGCATGTACCTGAGATAAGTTTATAATCTTTCGTTTTGTATAATCGTCGAGTTCATCATGTAGATGGTTCATTCATTTATTATTTTGTGAACCAAGAAACTGCGATTTCCTCTTTTTATCGTAACAAATCACAGATGGCTTGGTATTATTGTCCAATAAGAGAAAAGCATTACATAGTGAAGAGTTATAGGAGATTGTAGTCTATTAGAAGATCTTTCTTTAGCTGTTTTTGTTTGTGGTAAGAGATGCAAAAATACACACCTTTGAATTCTAGGTATATGTTATCAGCCATACCACTCAAGCTCAGAAATACTAGAGCTTTTTTTTTTTTTTTTTTTTTTTTTTTTTTTTTTTTTAAATATATATATTTTTTATATTTTATATTTTATGAATGGGATCTACATTTTTTTAACAAATGAATGTGACAGTTAAACAATACACACTAAAATTTATCTGAGTGTGACATGAAATAAATTGTTTAAGGCTGTCAAGGATAAGGATGGGAAATGAGAAACATGTGGTCATAGAATTGTTGGTTGTTTTTATGCTACACTCGGTGTAGGTTATATCGGGTGTATTTTATTGTCGACACACACACCAATGTGGGTGCGTTTGTGTGTTTATTGTTAACATATACGAGACTTGCAAATCAAATTGATCACCAATATCTCATAGAAAATAATTTATTTCTAAATGAATTTTTACTGTTTATCGACACACACTAATATGGGTGTGTGCGTGTTGGTGTCTACTCGCGTGTATTTTACCCCAATGTAGCATTATATAGACCAAGAAAACGATGAATTGATTGTGATAGACAACTGGACACGCTGATGTGAGAGAAGACATAAAATAAAATGAAATAAAATAAAATAAAACACGAAGAATATTCCCCAATTTTCTTGGAATTTAGAAGCACAAACAAACACACAAGCTCCGGATAAATAATTAAATAAATCACGTTTTCAGTGGGCCTTCACTTGATCATCGAAATCCTTTACATTTCCTTTACAATCCCCTTCAAATCTGCCAACCCTAAAGTGCGTGAGGTCCACGCCCTCCGCTTTCCCACTCGCCACGAGCTCCGCCGCAATTCTCCCCACCACCGGCGACATCTTAAATCCATGCCCCGAAAATCCGCCGCAGACCACCGCGTCCTCCCCGAACTCCCCGCCGAGGAAATCAATCACGAAATCCTCGTCCGGCGTCATCGAGTACATGCACGACTGCGTCATCACCGGCCGGTCGCCGTCGACCAGCCCCCCAAATCGCCCCTCGATCCACCCCCGCAGCGCCTCCACCATCGCCGGCGCCGCCGCCCACGTCCGTTCCTCCGGCTCGCACGCTCGTCCGGCGTGGACCGGGATCTTAATCAGCCCGGGGAACTCCATCGACGGCGTCCCGTATATGTACGGCTCCCCGTAGCTCGCGAACGTCGGAAACCCTCCCTCGATTGTGAATTTACCTTCGTGCCCTTCCCTGATCTTCCAGTAGTGAACCGTGGTCTCCAATGGCTGAATGGGGAGGACTAACCCCCTCACTCTCTCAATCAGCTTCTTCGTCCACGGCCCCGCCGTGATTACGCATTTCCTCCCCCGGAATCGTCCGCCTCCTCCGGCGACCACGACGATTTCGTCGGTTTCTACGTCCTTGTATATATTTGTCACTCGACTGTTGTCTCGCAATACGGCGCCGTTTCGGAGTGCGAGTGCCTGAAACATCGACACGGCTTTCGTCGGCTTGATAACGCCGCCCTCCTGTGTGACAACTCCGATCCAGTCCTCCGGGATCCGGAACAAACCGGAGAATTCCTCAATAACCCGGGCCGGGTCGAGGACCCGAACCGGAATCGAGTTTTTCCGGCAGCTGTCCACAACGGCGAGCAGGGATTTGTTGTCGGATGGGCCCATATCGAATTGAGATGTCTTGAAGTAAACCCTGTAGCCGATTTCGGCCTCCGCCTCTTCCCAGAGGCGCGTGGACTCCACCACCATGTGGGAGTAGTAGTCCTCCGGGTAGGTGGCGCGTGTGGTTCTGGACTCGCCGTGGGAGGAGCCGCGGTGGTGGAGGAAGTCGAACTGCTCGAGGAGGAGCGTCTTGAGGCCGCGCTTCGAGGTTTGGTAGGCGGTGGAGCTGCCCATCACCCCTGCTCCGATTACTATTACATCAAAAACTCGACCGCCGGAGTTTTCCATCTCTTCTCTCTCTCTCTCTCTCTAGAATAGAGGAAGAAGAGAGAGAAGACTTTAATTATGCAGTGGCGTCAAAAGTTTAACAAAAAGTGTCAGATTCTTGAGGACTTTGCCGTTTTAGATTCCATCTCGTAATACTTTTTATTTATTTTTTAAAATCTAATATGATGTGTTGCTGACAATAGAAAGTGCCTAGTACTTATCTTTTGTTTATGTAATTGACCAATGAAGCACCATCGAAATTTAAAAAGAAGTGTTCAATACCAATTGCACCAACAATTGTAAATTTTATTTAAAAGAATTATAAATAATTTTTAGAATATTATTTTTTTCTAGAAATATTAGATGAAATTTTTAGGTTGTGAAAAATAAAATTAAGGAAGAAACATGAAAAAATTTGAGAGTGAACTGAATACAAAAGAGAGAAAGAAAAATACACTTTTTATACACAATCATAAAGGTATTTTCGTCTGAAATTATCCAACATCTAGTGCAATGGTCGATCAACTTTGAAAATTGACGAATTCTTTAATAGTCTAATGGTAGGGGCTTGTCACGTTTAATAGTCCAAGACTATGGAAGCACAATCATGACTACTCCACATGTTTTAATAAGTGAAATGTCGTCCCATAAGGGATGATCTCGTGGTTGAAGCAAGTGAGTATGTGTCAAATGACACAAGTTCGAATCTATTTACTAACAACCGTTAGATCAACCTTGCCACACATGGTTAGCCTAGTATGATTTCTCTTGTATGCATGCTATGTAGCACGAAAATTTCAACTTCTTAACGATATGTTAGAAAGCTTTAGGATGCATGTCACAACATATTACCGTAGTTATTTTTATGGTATTCTACTGATGCTATATCCGAGGGGATTAGGATTTTGCAAATTCGATTTGTTATGAAAGTAAAAAAGAAATTGGAAAATAAAAAAAATAATATAAAAAACTTTAAAAAAATTTCAAATTTGTTATTGGGGTTTATCAACCATGTTCAAATATATTACACACACAAAAGTTTCAAGATCAAACTATGTTCAATGTTAAATCCTGTCTAAAACATCTACCAAACCTGAGGGAAAGGAAAAAATAAATAAATAAATCTCGCAACTGTATATGTAAGAAGGAAAATCGTACTGTCTCGATAAATAATATTCACTTTCGAGTAAAAAAATATAAGTAACCGATCAACTTATTTGCTCTCCGATCAAATCAAGTCCGACGAGTACGAAAGTGAGCCCTTGAAACAGCAGAAAGTAGAAATGTAGTCCATGCGCCGACAAAAGGCTCCTCACAGAAGCCGTAAGCAACAGGAAAGCAAGTGCTAGCTCTTTCCTGTAAATCTTGTTCGACTTCTTGATTATTACCGTTTCGCCCTTGTCCTGTTCCTTCGATCCAGGGTCAGAAAGGTCATTTTCCCTGTCGGCGGAATCGGAATCGGACTCCGACGATCTTCCGGCCTTTTTCGTCACGATCCACTCGTAAGAGCTGCCTAGCTGGAATAATCCGGAGATCATGGCATTGAATTTTGTGACGGACATTGTGTTTTCGAATAGAAGATAAGGGGCGATAAATGGAATTGATTTAGGCGACGGGAGTACGCTTAGGAATGTCATTATAACTGGGATGTAGCAAATTACCCACATAGGTAGCTCGATTTCCGGAATGAACATTGTTAATGGAAGAACTATACAGAATAGTGTGAAGGAGTAAAACGGGAGGATGAGTTTTCGTAGTAGAAAGAAGAGGAATATCAAGTTCACTTTCTTCCATATCGATATCTGCAAAAAAAAAAAAATTACAATAGACATCGGTGATGTTTTATTCATTAGGTGGAGATTCGAACGGAATTTTCCGATTTCTGTCGATTCCGATCCCAAATTTTCCGATTTTGGAACAATCTTAAAATTCCAAATTTTCAATTTTTGGGTTTGGAATTAGAATTTATATCCGATTTTGATTTCCGGTCCGATTTTAATTTTCGAATAATCCATTTTTTTTTTTCCGAAAACTACACTTATAATAGGTATTCTAAAAAAATCTGCCTATTCCAATTTCGAAATATTTCGATTTCGAACAAGCGTTTTCATTTCAATTTCCAATTTTTTTTCGAATACAGTTAGGATTAGTTTTTCACTTCCGAAAAAAAAAAATAGAATTTTTCCGAAAGTGCGAATTCCGATTCGGTCAGCCCGATTTCCATCTCTTAATTTATTCATGAGCATGACAAAATAATGTACCTTTGAATTTATTACATCGGGAAGGCATAGTCGAAAAAGCTGCATGGGACCGGAATGCCACCTATGTTGTTGCTTCCTATAAGCTTCGAACGACTCCGGAACTTCACATAGAACCTAATTCGTCGAAAATATTCCAAAATTTATACGACAATTAAGCCATTATTGCAATATGGGAACTCAATTTTGCTAAGTTGAAAAAAAATAAAATCTACCTTGACATCATTTAAATAAATGAATTTCCAACCGTTGAGATGCGCTCTTACAGCAATGTCCATATCTTCGACAGTTGTCCGTTCGAGCCAGCCTCCGGAATCTTCTAGAGCTTTGATCCTCCACACACCGGCGGTGCCATTAAAACCGAAGAAATTCAAGAATGTTCCATTCACTTGCTGCTCCACCTCGAAATGGAAGCATAAATTAATGTTTTGTAGTCGAGTTAACAAGTTTTCGTCTTTATTCACAAACGCCCACCGAGCCTGAACCAACCCTAATTCTGGATTCCCCTGCACCAAAAAAATCAAACGAAAAAATAAAATCAATAACTATTACTACTTTATTAGTATAGATAATAGAAGTATGTATATATATATAACCTTGAAATGTGGGACCGTGTGCTTGAGGAAATCGGGAGTTGGTTGAAAATCGGCGTCGAAAATAGCGACGAATTCGTATTTTTTTACATAATCGCAACTCATTGCGGATTTAAGGTTTCCGGCTTTATAGCCAGTCCGAATGAGACGGTGTCGGTATATTATGTTGATTCCTTTTTTACTCCACTTGGCGACCTCTGATTGGATAAGCCATTGAATGCTCTCGTCGTTTGAATCGTCGAGAATTTGAATTAATAAACGCTCTTTCGGCCAATCAAGCTGACATACCGCAGATATAGAGAGTTCATATACCTTTTTAGACCAAAAAAAAAAAACAGAATAAGTTCATTACAAAGTCAAAAAATGGCAAGAAAATAAAAAGGGAAAAAAACTGCCGTACCTCATAATAATAATGAGTTTATTGCATTCAGTACCCTTATATTATATATATCGAATTTGCCCATAAAATGGCAAATCACGGCCACCTCTGTTATGGTCAAATTACGAACCCCCTTCCTGTTTGGATAATTACAGCCACCCCTCAACTATGTATTATCTTACGAAAATACCTCTCCATAGGTAAATTTAGGGATGTTAAATCAGTGAAACCGATTTAACATCCCTAAATATACGATTTGGTTCGGTAAATAATCGATTTACATAAATTTCATGTAAAAAATATTTAAAAGGAGGGGTTTAATGTAATTACCCAAACAAGATGGGTTTTTTTTTGTAATTTGACCATACCTCAGGGGGTTGGCCGTAATTTACCCAAAAAACTACCTCATGTAATTTTATTGGTAAAAACCCCCCTACGATACTTTTTTTAATAACAATTAGTACCCCTGTTTAGGGGGTTGTGTGGTAAAAAAATAATTGAATAGTAGGGGGTTTTTTTGCCAATAAAATAACATGGGGGTAGTTTTTAGTAATTCGATATTACACAAGGGGTACAAATTGCAATAAACCTTAATGATAAGTGCAAAAAAATGGCAGCAAAAAAAATAAAAAAGAGAAAAATTGCCATACCTCCCTTTCATTACACATGGGAATTTGGACAAGAACCATGGGGTAATTATTCCAGTGCAGCTTCAGTATTATGGGTGCACAAAGGATCACCTATAATAACGCCGGTTTGATTTTCTTGATCTTGATGTACAAGCAACCCAAGCAAAGAATCAAGCGATCCAAAGACTGGATTACGAACAGAGCAACACAGAACACCGAAATAGATTCCACAAAGGGGGCAACGTACTGCCCCCGAAAACCCAACCCACACAACGTACACCAACTGAAACAATCCTCGTACCTCCGAAGTTTGCGGAACGACGTCGTACAACAACAACAAGCCTTTCAGGTGAGCAAACACCTCGAAAACCAGAGTGGCAACTGATGTAATTAAGAGGAGTTTAATGATTGCCAGCATTAATTTGCCCTTCCCGAGTTTCTCACTTGCAACCGCCACCCCTCGTCTTAGAATGAGCCGGTTTTTTATTGTTGCGAGGAGTGAGAACAGAACGGCTCCGAGCCGAGCCAGGGAGCCGGCGGCTCGGTTGGCCTTGAGGAGAAGGATCCATCTCACTTGCTTGGCGTTCTTGAGCCGGTTCTTCTGGACCGGCTTGAATGCAGCATCTGGGCCGTCGATTTCGACGATGGAGAAACTTGGGTTTGCTTCCATTTTCACTACCACTGGTGTTCCTTTGGGTTGTGTTACTACTGTTTCTCTCCCCCACCACTCAAAAAAATTCAATCTTGGAGCCATTTTTTTTTTAATTACAGTAATAAACTTTGATTATTTTGAGGAGAATTTTAGAGCCCAGATCTTAAAATCAAGAAATTGAGACAACCCATATTGAAGAAAGCAAAAAGATTGAAGGAGAAAAAAAAAATCACCAATGAAGAAGAACTAATGAGTAGTGATTAAATAAAGAAATGATTTTTATTATTATTTTTTTGAAGAATATTCTTTGCACACTGTGAAACGTTAACCTGGGAAAACATTACGCAAAGCAAGACAGCGTTATGGGGAAAGGTATATATATATATAAGCTTGCATTATATTCATTAAATCATTTTACTTTGGTAAAAATTGAATCTTGAAAAAGATTTAATATTTGAAGGGGAAATGTTGCTCAGTGTAATATAGTTTATGAGCTATTATACTAATGATTTACTCCATCAAGATTTTTTATTTTATTTTAATTGTGATTTTAGTTATGTAATAAGTACTCGATACTCAATTCATGATTGTCTATTAGAAATTGAACACATATTTTCATTCGATAAGTTAAGAAGGTCGCTGAGTCGAACTCGATCAGTAGAAAAATGAAAAATTATGTAAAAAAAGTCAAGTTAATTGACCTTGGAAAAATCATTAAAACAGTATAATAACATTTGCTAACTAATTAGCTTGATGTGATTGGTCATTTTAATGAAAAACCACATGCAATTACTTAATGAAAATATGAGTCTTTTTAATTTGTTTGTTGTTTTTTTGATGCAAGTACAAAAATATAAATTGCTAATGCTAAAAGGGGGCATCTTCCAATTGGTTAGCACACTTTTGTGTCGGTACAACTTTTAGTCCTGCAAATATAACCATCATCATTGTTAATAAAGGGATTAATTAGTGTTAAAGGGCCACTTAATTAATTAATTGACGAGTTACTTTATAATTTTTTGTTAAGTTAATTATACATCTTAATTACATCAAAGATGCCATCTATCCACTTTCTAAATTTTTTCTATCCTTTCCTTCATCATGTAGTTCACCATCGAAATTTGCATCTTTATACAATAGGCATTTTTTAAAGTACTATATAGAATTATTAATGTTAAAAGAATCTCTTAATTTCCAAAAACTTTTATCTAATAAGTTGTAAATCAAACTAGGGATGAAATTTTCTTGAAAAGCTCTTCATCTTAATTTTTTATAAAAGTTTATTAGCTCTTAAATCTGTGTGTTTGACTAAGCTTATAAGTTCGCAAGAATGAAAACGGGCCAAGAATAAAACCGGGTCGGGTTCTATACTTCTATATGACATTTTTGGATAAGGAAAAAGAAAAAAACAGTTAAACAACAGCTGTTTAAAAGGAAAAAAAAGCAAAGTATATTGAATACAGTAGAGAGTATAAATTAATGGCATATGCTTGTGGGATTTGAGGACCAAAATATTAATGAGCACAAGTGAGTGCACCCCTCATGCTACTTATAAGTTGTACCTAAATATATTTAGGGGTAAAATGCTTTTTACCCATATATTTATAGACATACATATATATATACCAAGTGGGACAGCTGTCGTCCTTTGTGTGTGTTTCTTAATTATGTTATTTATTTATCATTTTGGTAGGGTTAAGCCGGTCTTTGAGATGCTGATTATTAATCGTTGATGTGGTGAAGTAACCTCCCACTGTATGTGATTATATTGTATGCAGATCAACAGTTAACAATCACCCGGTGTAGCATCAAACAAACCGGCTAAGCCCAATTATACATTATGAGTCATCACTAGATGGGCTTGTGGAAATCAAATGGTATAACACCAACATATCAAGCCCGGCCACTAAAACACACAATGTATAGTTGTTCGATCGATTGATCTACATCCACTTGCCGTTATAAGAATATGTCATTTGATCACACAAACAGTCAGAAGATTATAGATTACAAATGATTGATCAATATATATCTATTGATCTATCTCTTTCGCTTCTCAATCTCTCTCGACTATTGATTCTCTCTCTCTCTAATTTCAGAATGTCGATGGGTAACTAAATGAGCTATCATCTCAAAGACCATTTATATATACTAGTAACACCTCAACATCTCGTAACAACTTTCTGATTCAACTTAGTTACCGGCTCATCCAAGTGGATCTTCTGGATGTTTCTTTGATGGTTGTAGTTCGTTCATCACAATTCGATTAAAGTCAATTTTACGTTGTCTTTTGACAAAAATATCTTTATGATTTTGTTAGTTAAAAAAGTTCATCGATCACTTTCTAAAGCGCTAATCAGCCCGCCTTCTCCATCTTATAAATTGACTCGACTAATTTAAATCAATTGACCCGAGAGCGGTGGAACCAGATAATTAACTGAAATTATAATTAGGCAAATTTGGCAAAATATTAATTAAAATACACATAAAAAAGGACTTATAATTAACTGAAAATCCAAACGTAGAAAGTTTCATGGAAACTGAAAATAGAGTTTTTTTTTTTTTTTTTTCTTACCTATAATGATGCAACATAGATAAGGATTTTTTTTATTTTATTTTATTTAATTTCCCCTTAATTAAATTAAATAAAAGGATATATACTAATTAAAACTGTACGTCCACTTTCATGCATGGCTCAAAGCCACCCAATCTCTGTGGAGAAGAGAGATTTTCTCTCCTACGATCCTCACACGTACACATGTTGTATGTATATGTAAATATATATATACACACAGTCTCCGGCGAATTGTCAATAATAAGAAGCGGCACCGATTTTCCTTTTTAGCAAAGGACACAAATAAAAGAGTACACTCGTTTTTGCTTTTTGGTGATAATAAAAATACATCAATTAATCGAACAGCAAAAATGAGTCCCTCCGCCGCCGCGTCGTTATTCGTCATCTCCGCCGTGCTCCTCCTCTCCGCCACCACCTCCGCCCACAACATAACCCTAATCCTCGATCAGTACCCGGAGTTCACAACCTACAACTCCCTCCTCACCGCCACCGACCTCGCCACCAAGATCAACCGCCGCAAGACACTGACCATCCTCGCCCTCACCAACGACCGCATCGGAGATCTCGCCGGAAAATCCGTCGACGTTCAGACGAGGATCCTAAGCACCCACATCGTCCTCGACTACTTCGACATGCTGAAGCTCTACAAGTTCAAGAACACCAAGAGCGTGGTCACCACGCTCTACCAGTCCACCGGCACCGCCGACGACATGCAGGGATTCCTCAACGTCATCCACAGCACCGACGGCAACATCTACTTCGGCTCCGCCATGAACGGCGCGCCGCTCGACGCCAAGGTCGAGGGCTCCGTCGCCAAGCAGCCCTACAACATCTCCGTCCTCAGCATTTCCCACGTCATCGTCGCCCCCGGGATCGACGGCTCGTTCAAGCCGGTCACCGCGCCGCCGCCCAAGGCCCCCGCATCCAACGCCACTTCGCCGCCGGCGGAGAGCCCGGAGGTTGAAGAGCCTGCAGCTGATGCCCCCGCCCCTGATTCTGATGTTGCTGCCCCGGCCGATGCTCCGGCCGCTGATGCACCGGCCGCCGATGCTCCTGGTCCTTCTCCCGACTCTGCACCGGCTGACGCCGATCAGACACCGCCGCCGGCCAACGCCGCCGGGAAACAGATGGTCGGCGGTTTGTCGATTGGTTTGGTGATGGCGTTTGCATCTATCGTCCTTGCAGCTCATTGAGATCGGAGTTGAAATTAGTATAGTTTTTATTATATTTAGAAAGTGAACGAATTAAATAATCTTTTGTGACACATTTATTTATTTATTGTACAAATTATTCGAATATATGTAATATGTATTATCATTTGGATGCAATTTTTGTTTTAATAATAACATGAAGAAGGGTTGAATCATGATATTTAATTTCAAAAATAAAAAGAAAAGAGTATTTTATAGTAAATTAGATTTTTTTTGAAGTAATTAGAAATAAAATTAAGCAAATGGATAAAGAAGCTAATATATGATGTTAATATAACTAATTAATATATGTGTAACATATAATCAATGTGTGTTACACGTGATCTAGTGCACATTCCCCGTACCATATGTAAACACCGAACTAGGGGTGTAAATGAGCTGAGCCGGCTCGTGAGCTCGATGAGTCGATTTGAAAAGAACTCGAAATCGATCTCGATTTTTTAGAGCTCAAGCTTTCTGACAAGTCGAGTCGGAGCTCATTCTTAGTTGTTTGTGAGCTCGTGAGCCGATTTGCGATTTTTTTTTTATTTTTTTTTTATTTTTAATTTTTTTTAAATATAATTAATATAAAATAAATAATAAATTCATAAAAGTAATTGAAAAAAATAAACTAATTTATAATAATATTAATAAAAATTAGAAGAAAAAAAAACATATAATGGCTCAAGCTTGAGCTTGTCAAAATGGATTTGAGCTTGAGCTCGAGCTCGACTCGTTTACACCCCTAGCTAACTGAAATATTCACTAGTTAATGCCCTAATTTAAGGCCCCAATTTGTAACAATCACCATCTTTTTTCTAATTTTGACATTTTCCTCATCATATTATTATAGCATCTTTTTCAGTAAAAGAGAATCTATTCAATTACTAGCCACTGGCTTAATTAACTCTATCTCATTACTATTAATCGGTAAATGACTTGAGCAAACAAATTAACGAGTTAATTGTGAAATAATATATACATATATAATAAATCAAAAATCTTAATTGTTTTTCCGCCCTAATTAAAGTTGTAATTAAACAATCAGCATCTCTTCATATAGTATAACAAGCATCTAATTATTCAGTAAAATTAATTAAACTAATCAATGGCTAATTAATGGCATAACTCAAGCTCATTAGCATCATCACTTCATGAACATAGTCAAAACATAGGAAAATATTTATTAATTATTTAAAGGAAAAATATTACAGCACCTAATTAATTGCCTATATATACAGCAACATAGAGAGAGCATTATTCATCAATTAAACTCAAGAAAATATTTAATTAATTACCTCCATAATAATGGATTTTCTCACCATTTTTCTTTTTATTTGTGTTTTTTTATTGCAAAAAAATGTAGCAGAAAACAGTTTTGATAAATACTATTCACCTCTATGGGGATCAAACCACTTATCAGTTGATCCTCAAGGAAATGAAGTCCAACTTCTGATGGATACATCCTCAGGTTTGTATATATATATTTATACATAGATACAATATTTATTTTTCATGCATATGCATATTTATATATATTCTATACTAAAAAAAAAACTCTTTTTTTTTTTATTATTATTTTTGTTATTTTTGTTATTTGTTTTTTTGTAGGTGCTGGATTTAGGTCTAAGTTGGATTACGGGTCCGGTTTGTTCCGTATAAGGATGAAAATACCCGAAAAGAAAACAGAAGGAATTGTTACATGCTTTTATGTAAGAATATTACTTATACATATGTATGTAAATATTAATTTTTTTTTTTAAGTTTGATTATTAATGTGTATTATGTATGGTTAATTGGCAGTTAACATCGGCACCGGATAATCAAGAACCTGGGAATCATTTTGAACTTGACTTTGAATTCTTGGGCACTAATGGAACTGTGCAAACCAATGTTTATGATTACGAGGGAGGCCACAGAGAACAAAGTTTCAAACTTCCCTTTGACCCGTCGCAAGATTTTCACACTTACGGAATCTTTTGGAACCCTAGCCAAATTGTGTAAGCACGCACGTATATATATACATATATATTAATTCTTGTTCATTTGCAATATGTTCATATATATATATATATATATATATATATATATATATATATATATATATATATATATATATATATATAATTGAGCTTATTGAATTTAATTTGCTAATTAAGTAAACTCCATGCATTTTTTTCGCACATAACGTAACCCCTAAATAGTGAGTTTTTAGGGGGCATTTTGCCAAAAGAAAAAGAATCATAGGGGTTTTTCGCATCAAAATAATACGAGAACTTTTTCAGCAATTAGAGAATATACAACGATATGTTGAATGCAATAAATGATCTTTGTGGGCCATGACCCCCCAAAAAAACATATTATTCTATTTTTTTTTAGTATTGTCACTAAGAAAATAGTGTATAATTGGCTTTCGTCGAAATTGTGTATGTACAGATTCTTTATCGACGGAATTCCGATAAGAGTGTTCAAGAACAACAGTGCACAAGGAGTGGCGTATCCGTCAAAGGCAATGCATATTGAAGCAAGTATATGGAATGCAGATTGGGCCGGGCCAGTTGATTGGGCCCAAGCCCCATTTGTGGCCCATTATCAAGATTTCGATTTCTATGCTTGCCCTACTCAAAACGATGACGTTTCTATTTGTGGGAATGGGCACTATTTTTGGAATAGGCATCGACACTTGGAGCTAAACGACGAGCAGAAACAACAAATGAAGAGTTACAGAAGCGCGTACATGACTTATGACTATTGTTCTAGTCCTTCTACTAGCAAACAAGAATGTTCACTTAATTGATCTTTGATATATGTGGTAAACTATCTATATATACACAATATCTATATATATTCGACCAAATTTGTAATTTGTCGAATTATTGGAAAAATTATAAACATGAGGGAATTGAATTTCACTTTTTGTTTATTTTGACTGTTTTTTCCCTTTTCATGAATCTCCTTTAATTTTAATTATGTATGCATCAAATAATGAAGAAACGTCAATTCACAGTCAACTGTCATCGAATACGTGGAAGCCCAATCAATTTACAGCTTGTTGTCTGAGTTTGAATACAAAATAAATTTGGAAAGTCAACTGTCATCGAAATTCCGTTTAAGACCCTCCATTTGCTTGTACGTCGATTTGAACATGATCCAACGGTTCGAATTCTCAGCAACGGGCCGATCCAAAAATCTATATATAATATAAAGGGTTAAATACAAAAACACCCATGTACTATGAACTTTGTATCATATACCCCCATGTACTACACATAAATACAAAAACCCCCGCACATTACATTTTTCTCAAAATATGACAAAAATACCCCTACTCAAGCATATATATATATATATATATAGTTTGAGTTATTTTCCACTATATATTTTAGGATAAATTCCACTTTGCACCCTTGAATTATAAGCATTTGGCACAATGCACCCTTGAAACAAAATAAAGTCATTTTCCACCCCAAGTTTCCATAGCTAATTTCAAACTGCACCCCACTATACATTCCGGCGGAATTGCTTGACGGAAGACAAATTTTCTGGAGATCACAAAGGGCAATCTCGTCAAATTCTAATTTCCCTCCCTTTTTAACTTGATTATATTTTCCAATGAAATTATCACAGGACTCTTTTCTCTTCTAAATAAAAAATACCATTAAACTACTCCACAGAAAGTTTAACTCTTTCCGTGGAATCACAAATTCTCTATTCACATTAACAAAGTTTGACACATTCATTTTTCTTGTCTTTTCTTCAGCATATTTTTTTTTTAAATCTTGACAATGCATCCCAATAACTTAATCCGGACTCCGATCCGTAAAAGTACATGTCGATTAGCAAAATAAATTCATTTAAAGAACTAAAGACAAATGATATCACTCACCAATTTAAACAAATACCACATAATAATTTCAAAAACTTATAAACTTCCACCACCAAAATATTCAATCAATGTAGGAATATAATGGCAAAATAATTTGTCTAATGACAAAAACAATCGATTCAAGTCAGAGAAATAAAACCAAACTATATTTCAAAAAATCGGCTCAATCCTAAATTATCTAGTCTTCCACACATGAAATAGCATACACTTGGTTATCAGTTGTTGAAATCTGCATCAATTAGCCCCACCTTCCTGCAACCAAAAAAAATAATACATAATAAGTACAAAACACTTTACCTAATTATATAATTAGTGGTATAATATGCTAATTAACCTGGAAAACGTTTGAAGCTACTGTTCGAGTAGTGGAATTTTGTTTATTGCTTTCTTTTTACCTGCATCGAGTGAAAAATAGTGACTTGCTCTCTCTCTCTCTCTCTCTCTCTCTCTCTCTCTCTCTCTCTCTCTCTCTATATATATATATATATATATATATATATATATATATATATATATATATATATATATATATGGCATTAGAGGATGAAAAGATACGAACTCAAAGTAAGATGATCCATACATGCAACTTTGAAGAGTTTGAAGAACAACCATAACTTCCCTTTGCTTGTTTAGGTGGTTTCTGCATCCTTTCTTATTATGTCCAACTACTCCACAGTTAGAACAAACATACTTCAATCTATTCCTCTTAATTTTTTTCCCATTTTGTTGTTGTTGGATCAACTCTTCAGGTTCTTTTCTTCTTTCATGCAGTTCCGGCCTTCCACATTTTTTTCGTTTTTCAGGCCATGGCACCAGTGGTGGAAATGTGGACTTGGGCCACTCATCTTGGCCCTTAATGGGCTCAAAGCAACGACTATATGCCTTCAAAAAAGTATCTTTTGTGTACCAATGTTCGACATAGTTTTCTACTCTCTCTCTTTTGTTGAACAAACATGCTACTGCATGAACACATGGAATTCCCGTGAGATCCCATTTCCTACAGCTGCAAATTCTCTTAGATATATCCACGGTCCACTTATCACCCGTCCATCCTTTAACCTCAAACTTGTCAAAGCCATTCCATTCTGGTATGTATTCATTTGATTGTTTCTTATTT